TCCTAATCCATCCTTGTACTTCACCTTGGGACTTTTTCCACAGGGCTCCGCATCCAATTTGGCTCCTATTTAGGTTATAGAGTTAAAATCCTAAGATTTTGCCTCCAGCCCGACTTGAACCGTTGACCTAGTCTGTGGGAGGTTAGCAGCTTTACCGTTAAGCTATAGGGCCCAACCCCAGATAGAATTATTTAAACCAACAAGTATGAATAAGTCCTAAATAAAAAATTGCATTAGGTAATTGAATAAAAATTTGATATTGGTGATGGCATAATATTCCTAAATTTATTATTTGTATATATATACAAAGCAATGTTGAATTCTTAAGAATTATAACATAATATGATTTGGATATTGAAGTTGCTACAATATAAAAAACCTTCCAATTTCTTGTACTTTCTCATTTGATATATCTGATAAAAGTTCACTTAATTAAATTTCAGATACATCATAAAGATGTTTAATTGTATGATTAGCTTCAATATTGGACTTTTTAACCTATCTATAGAATTTAATGTTAGTATTTATTAGTAAAATTATTTATAGAATTTAGAATTAGTATTTATTAGTAAAATACAAATAAAATTAAATATTTGTCTATTTAATTGTAGTCAAAATTTCTTGATATAACAATAACTGGTTCATCTAGACTTATTGAAATAAGAGCAAAATAGATGTCAAATATTTAATTAATACCAAATTAATAGTCTTGAAAATGGTATTATAAGTAGACAATAAGTCAGATGATAAATTAGATCTGTAATAATCTCTAATATGATTATAACTGGCTTTTTTTTTTCAATTCTTGTTCAATTGCTTTTATTAGTTTCTTTAACAAGGTACCTTGATTAACATGTTTCTTAAGAACATATTTATTAACTCCACCCTTTGTGTTGACTTAGCACTGGCTATAAATACTTTTAATATAGAATATCTTGTCCAAGCCTCATAGCTCAGATAAAGCTTTGTTTCAAGATAAAAGCAACAGAGTTCATATTTTGTAAGTATGTATTAGTAATTTAATTCAAAAAGTTCTTGGATGCAACTATTTCTTATATGATAAAAATCTTCAACAAAATTTTTAGCACATCATCATAAAGTTTCAATTTGGCTTTCTTTTTGATATTTTTACCAAAATAATAAATGCACAAAAAATGATATGTTTGTAGATATATGATTTGCATGGCCATGATTATTACTAGATCTTTATCACTAAACAAAACTACAGGAAACAAGTTATTGGTTGCTTTCAATATATATTACAAGATCTAATTGTAATCAACTTGTGTTTCATATTTTATTAAAGCTTATACGAGAATTCTTGATTTGAAGTTATTATTAACTTTAATAAATAGACTAAGAGCTATTTCATATTAGTTCATCTTGGCTGTATTGTTATAAATAATAATATAATGAAACTTGGGCCAGAGTTCATTTCTCTATTAACTACTCATCTAGAATAAACCTGTTAATTTATTAAATTTATCCTCTATATATAGAATAACCACATATTCTTGGCCTTGTTCTTTCAAATTAAGAAGATGTTGCAACATTGTAGCAGTATTGGATTTATCATGAATCCTTATATTTTAAAATTTACTAATAGCATTATAAAGGTTCTTTTTTTTTATTTGATATTGGGAAAATTCTTTTACAAGAAGATTAAATTGTTGGCTAGCACTAAGCTGACCAACAATAGTATAGTTCTCAATTCTGTCTAAAATTGTTGATAGAAATTGTAAATGCTTTAGAGCCAATTCTATAGTATTCAGATTACAAATATGATTATATTTATCTACTATGCTAGTAATATTTATAGCTTTTGCATGTTTACCAAAATAGAAGCAAACTAGCTATAAACAATTGGTTTTACTAGAAACACCATCATAATGTTCATCAATATTCTTTACTTTTTTTGGTCTGTTTATATCTAATTTCTAACAAGCATAATTACAGTGTTAAATGATAGACTTATCAACTAGATCAAGATCTTTGCAACATATAATATTCACAAAACTGTGTTGCTTTAAATAAGCATTAATCACACATTGTACAGTGTTCCAATTATTAAAAGGATCCCTTACTTGTAATTTTAATTTAGTTGTATTATATTAAATTATTTAATTGATGTTAGCATTTACACTAATATCAAGCTCAGAACTTTTGGAATCAGGCAAATTACCAGTGAACTTAGAATTCACAAAACTAAGTAAATTACTAACAGATCTAGAACTTGCAAGACCAGGCAAATTATTGTTTATTTTGAAATTTTCAAGACTAGACAATCCAAAATTTATAGGACTAGGCAAATTACTGTTTATCTCAAAGTTCTTAAAACCAGACAGCTCAAAATCCTCAAAACCAGACCAAATACTATCATACTTTAGATTTACAAGACAAGGCAGCAATTTAACATTTATAAAACCAGATACAAGATCAGATAGCAATTCAACATTAACAGAACCAAGCACAAGATTAGGTAACAATTCAATATCCACAGAACCAAGCTCAAGATCAAGTAATAATTCAACATTTACAGAACCATATAACTTGGATTTATTATACTTTGGATTTACAAAACCAAATGGCAATTTAACACTTACAGAACCACATAATTCAGAATTCACAGAACTATACAGCAATTCAACACCTACAGAACTACATAATTCGAAATTCACAGAACCAGAATCATAAAATTTAAAGCTACTGAACCAGGCAGCAACTCAAAGCTACTGATACCAAAAATATCAGAAAAAGATTTTTTAGCTCATAATCCATAGGACTAAAAAAGTTGTTTTTAAATCTGTTAAAAATTACTTGCTTCATTTTTTCTATTTGTTAATGCATTAAAATATGATGGAAAAAAAGGCCTAGTTGGTATCTTTTATTAACAAAAGAACTACTAAAATAAGTTATATTGTTGCATATTAAAAACTGTATAAAATTAATGGCAGCTAATAGTTAACAAAAGCCTTACATACCTTAAATTCAATGAAGGCAAAGGATCTAATAAGAGACAATAACTGGTTAACTGTTGTAATCCTAAAAATGTCACTTAAAATAAGTAAAAAATGTTTTTGCTAAGATTAATAACAACTAAAATCAAATGCATTCTAATCAGGGTTGGTCAAATCACTGGTCGACCAAAAATTTGTTGGTCGAACTGGTCTGGTCAAATTGGTCAGATGGTTTGGTCAAATTGGTCAAATGATCTAGTCTATTAAATAAATAATTTTAATATACAAATAAATAAACAAATATATTTATATACTTTATATATTATTTGACTAATTTGACCAATTTGACCAATTCTAAACTCTTTGACCAACTGGTCAAATTGGTCAAACTGGTCTGGTCAAGCTTGACTATTGATCAGTCTATGTCAACCCTGATCCTAATGTAACAAAAGACAAAGATTAAAGTGAATTTGAAAAACTATTGTTAGATTATTATTAATACAATTATTACTAATACATTATTATATGATATATGATCACTCATTATTATATAATACTGGTAATAATCACCAATGATAATAAATAGTAATATTTAATAAAATTTTATTAAAATAATTAGAAGATTTAAATTTATATACTACTAAATTTTGATAACAAAATTTTTTTTTTTTAAAGCAGTAATCTTGCTTATATGTCTTTATTTATTTATTTATTTTTTGCATTAAAGTCTTTATCTTTAGGATGTAATATTTTTATTCAAGTATATAGGACACAGGTTGCCTCCAAAGACTTCCTTATATTGAAGATTACAACTAGCCATATGTGCACTTTTGGTGTTTAATTTAAGTAGTCTGCTTATATATTGCTATATAAGTTCTATACTAGATGCTATATCTGTAAGCCAACTAGAGGTCTTGACTATTTAAACTCTTTGTATATACAATCTATCTTGTATTATAAGAACATTTTTAAGACTACATCTATTTAAGTTTTTAATGCTAAGAACTAGTTTATCCTTAACAAAAAACTTACTAAAGCCTTTATATTCTATATATGCTAATCTAGTTTTATGCAACACATTATAGTTATCTAATATTTGCAATAGTGCTTCTACTAAACTGAATTGAACCAAACTTCTATCAAGTTTGAGTTTGATTTAAAAATTGAACCTAAATCCAAACAAGTTAAAAATATGATCAAGTTTAAGTTTGAGTCTAATTTTTTTTATTGTATTCAGTTCAGTTTGAGTTTTGTTCAAAAGTTTATAAATATGTTTAAGTTTGATAAGATTTCTGATTAACTAAATATTTACTAAGTTTAGTTAACTAATTAGTTAACTAAACTTAGTAATAATAGTAAATAACTATTTTACTAAGTTTAGTTGACTAATTAGTTAACTAAACTTAGCCAAGTAGTTAACTAAAGTCAATCTCAAA